TCGCCAAATCAATCAAAGTGACTTCAGACTCAATTTTATAAAACTGAGCGTGGAATAATTGTTCCAATTGTTGCCATGTTTGAACAAAGTTCGCTGGCAAGTTGATGAACAGGAGAAAGCTATTCCTGTTAATGAACTAGGGAAAAGCCTCATTTTATGGTAATCAGTTATATCACCACTTTGCAATGTGAATCGCCCTATGTGTTCTAGAGTAGACACCTCCCCTAAACCGGTAAACAGTAAGAATTCTGGCACTTTATACCCTCTAGGCCATGGATATGCTTGGTCTACCCAATCAGGATATGACTTTGTGTAAGTCGGTCTAATGACAGGACGCACTCCAAAAGCCATCTGATCCTGTACGATTTCCATAATCTGATTTCTCAACATGACGTTGGAGTCATATGAAATTCCTACAGGTTGGTTAACCGGTTGATTTGCATAAGGCTTGATGTTTGGTCCATGATTGGCAAGAAAGTTACCATGATTTGGGCCATTACCATTAGCCTGAACATCTATTCCCTCATTAACACGTGGGGTATTCTGTCCATTGTTTAGTACATTATCTCTTACATTTTGGATTACCTCCCAAGTTAGGCGTACCACTACCATTGTTCTGATTTGGCACTGCACCACCCCCTTGGTTTGAAGTAGAGGGACCAGAAAGTGGTTCTATCCCTTGATTCGGATTTAGGACTGAGGGATTATGTCCCACAATTGTCCTAGTTTGAAAGTGGTTTGCAAGAGGCAGAACCGGTTGACATATTTGGCCTACTAACTTATTCATTATTTTGTTCAAAGTGTTTAGTTGTTTGGCCATATTGTCATAATGTGCATTCCCATTTTGAGTAAATCTTTTCATATTATGAATATTTCGAAGATTCACCTGTTCAACAACATCTTGTGTGAGTTCTCCTAGTAGTGCACGCATAGTTCGAGGACTCAACTCTGTCATTGGTTCGTAACGACTGTTACTGCTCTGATTCTGTCCATCTGTTCGTGGAGAGGCATGCTGCTCCTCATATCGCTCGATTACAAACTGGACTCCTCCCTGACTTGCTGCTTCCTTATCGGATCTCTGAGGCATTCACCTTTTGTATTTTCAACACCAAACACCATTGTCCTACCGGGCATGCCAAATTGTTGCGGATTCGTCGCTAACAATTAAAAAGGGTTCAGACGATTGTGTAAGGGACAAACCTCTTGAGACAAAGTCCCAAAAAGGGGCATTTTTTATTGGCGATGACTTTACAATTGGAAAGTAAAAACAGAATGCCTCCAAGGGACACAAGCACACGAGTTACTATAAAAGAAGTGTTTAAATTTAAACTAAGAAATTTAAAGTTACATATTCTCTGTTTGAGAGTTTTTGATTCGATCCTTTGCTCTATATCTTTTCTTCCTTTTATACTCCCTGGATGATCTCTTTGTGATCAACCGCCTAAAAACTGCTTGATCGTTCTATAACTGCCCACTTTCCTCGTAATGGCCAACTTGTCATGGAACTGCCTTTTCTAACTGCTGCCATTACTCTTTGTCGTTCAACCGTCTTCAATTGAATTCTTTAAATCGTGGAACGTGATAGGGGTGCTTAATAACTGCTTTGATAACTGCGCTTCTTGATAACCATAACATTTCATGGTTGTTAAGACCTTGGGCGACTCAAAGGTTTGGGCGAGAATAGAGTAGTAGCTCTGGACGACTGCATGGCACTCCATTCGCTCAGATCCTGGGCGATTTGCAAGCTTGGGCGATGGTGTTACCGCGTTCATGGGCCTCCCTATTTGGGCCTTCATCCTGAATTGTCTGATTGGGTTTGGTTCTTTGGGCTATCTGATTTAGGGATCCTCCAATTGGGCTTCATTCCTTGGGCCGTTCGATTTGAGCTGAATTTTTATGTGTCAACACAAACAAAATAACTCTATCTCCTTTGCCTGTTCGTAAAATTAGATAAATTGCAATAAACTTGAATTTTTGTTTTCGAAAAGCAAAATATCAACCTTTATAATTGTTTAAAAAAAATATATTTTTCGTAGCTTTTTCTAATTTTTAGTCATATTTTTCGAAAAAAAATCACTTTTCAGATAAGTGTGCGCTTGATTGCCTATTTATTTCCAAGAAAAATGTGTTTTTTCATTCAAATTTTCACTTTTGTACTATTTGACTAATATTTTTACATGGAAAACATTTTTCTATTTTTTGGTCACGTGATCATGTTTTTCTCAAAATAAAATAAAAAAATTTCTTGAGGGAGAGTATGATTTTATTTTTCAAGAAACTCTCTCTCCACCTCTCTTATCTACTTACCAATAAAAATTGGATAAGTATAATATTTTTCATGTTGAAAATTAAATCAATCAAACACGTTTAGTTGACAATTTTCATGCAAATAAGTACTAAACAATTGAATTGCCTATAATTTATTTTCTTTCTATGTAAATTTCATGCTTATAATCAAATGTACCCTAAATCTAATTTTGGGTTGGCACTTGAGTTGGTAGTTTGCGAGTGGTCCGATCCACATTTTGAAGTGTTGACGGACAAGCCGGGCCATCTCATGAGGCCCCTCGAAAGGCAACATTTTGAAGCATATGGACTGTTGTAAATTTGCAAAATGTAATAATTTACTAATAAATTCAAATGAATGTATTATTGTATTTTTTTTAAATGGATATTTCATATTTATAATACATGAAATCAATGATGTGTCTATTTTATTATTTCTTCTGAACGATTGCATCTAAATTTTTTCAAAACAATTAAATAAATAATCAATGTTTTCTTTTTCTTTTAAAAATGCACACAAGTCAATCCGGCTCGGCTAGTTATGAGCCAAGCCACGGTTAATGGGCTCCAAACAACTGTTCAAGATCCACAACAGCAGAGGTAAGACACATTCCGCATAACAGTGGCAACAATTTATAAAACTAATAGAAAAATGTCATATTTCATTATTTCACAAGGATAAATTCGAGGTCTCGAACGTCATATTAGGCTGCTATATTAAATTTTTATACAAATCAAACATTAACTAGACGCAAATCAGAGGTCACAAAAACAGTCATACGGTCATGAAATTAAAAGGAAGTCACATCCCATATAATAAATGTCACAACACACACCATTTCGTCGTTGTTCTTCAATTCTTGACCAAAATTTTCGAGAGAGATAATTTTCATATAGTCGACCAACATGTTCATGATAGACAAAATAATTATTTTGCTATGATGTAGGGTTATATTTTAGGTGAGAGAAAGTATATTAATTTATCCACTGAAACATCATAATAGAACTCCTTTAATTTAGTGAAAATACCAAATCGGTTACTCAATATAATTTTATAAAAATATTCATTTTAACTATAGTGACCTAATTTTTTCTGCAAAAGAGACAAAAAAAAATATGTATATACTTCTCAAAACATAATTTTAATGTTAGGGAGTTATCCATTTATTGATTTGTTACTTGTCTGTCAACTAATGGGTTAGGCCCATATGTACGAGCCAACTCCTAGTCAGACGTTCAAAGGATTAGTGGTCTCTGTTGTAGTCCAGGCCCAATTTTAACAGTTCCAAACCTATTTTGGCCTAATTATACATAAGCAACACATTATAGTTTCATTAATGTTGAAATTACACTGGGACGGATTGTTAAATATTGGAGTTCAAAAATCAGGTAAAAGATTTACTTCTATTAATCTACATATTCACCCCCAACCCATTCATCTTAATTTTAATCGCACGCCCTAATTTATTTCGTCCTCACTGCTCTTTCTATTTTCACTCTCGTGGCGGTCTTCTCCGATGACTTTTTTCTAGTGTCTGTAGGTGGTAAATCATCACTGGAGAAACCGATGGAGCATCCTACCCCTCATGTTTGGCTGCGAACGCAACTTGAAAGGAGGGCAAGTTGTATAATTAGATTTAGGGGTTTGAGATCGGACTAGTACAGATAAGGAAAGGTGTCTTCAAGGAGATTCTTGTGGTGGAGAGAGAGATGTAGGTCCAAAGGACAACTCCACCACCGAATAACCACATTGGATGCTTCTCGCTTTGCATTGTTTTCTTTCTTTCATTAACTATTGACACATTCTTCTAAAACTACTTTTTAATTGCATATTAGGTTAGGGTGGATTTACATGCAATGGCAGCATCGGGGCTGCAATGAACTTAACAACAACATTGCGACTTTGTCATGTACGGTAACATAGGCTTTGTTGTGGCTGTTGGGTAGTGGAGGTGGCTAGACAAGTGGTGGTGGGGTGAGTAGATCAATAGTGTTTGTAGTTTTGGTGTCGAATTTGGTGATGGGGATGGAACTGGCACATCCTTAGTCAATGGCGTTAGCTTCACTCGTGGTGGCAATCCTTTAGTTTTAGGTTGTTGAGCTGTGTCTGTGTTTGTGGTGGTGTATTTGTGTTATGTTGTTGGGCTATGTTTAGTGGTGGTGGCGGCGGCAATGGCGATGTCATCTATTGTGGGGTTGGGATGGGGATAGGATGAAAGTATGTGACCAATTATTTGGGTGCTTGAGACCAACTATCTGGTGTAGAGGTGGGATGAAGAGTGTTTGTAACTAATTATTTGGATTTTTGCGACCAATTATTGGTGTTGGTAGGGAAGTTGGGCTAAGGGTGTGATAAAGAGTGTTTGTAACTAACTATTTAGGTACTTATGACCAATTATTTGGTTAATTTATGACAAAGTATTGGTGTCAGTGGTGGAATTGAAGGTGGGGTGGAGGGTGTTTGTGACCAACTATTTTGGTATTTGTGGCCAACTATTTGGTCAATTTTTGACCAACTATTGGTATTGGTAGTGGAGGTGGGGTGAAGATTGTATATGACTAGCTATATGTTAAATTAGGGGCGGAGCCAGGATTTATGTTTGGTGCGGGTATCATTTTTCGATGTCAAACTTCGAGATTTTGGTCATAGATTTAATGATGATAAAAAAATAAAACAATATTACAACAACACTAAAAACGACATAATTTATATATTAAACTTGTTCCTTGCGAGTTTTTATATTTTGATATCGTCGTACATTAAATTCATTATCGAGCTTCAAAAATATATCTCTCTCTACATGAACAATAGTGCTATCATTCATCCACTGATCACCCATCCGATTGCGCAATCTATTCTTTACGATGTTCATTGCAGAAAAAACTCTCTCCACGGTAGCGGTAGCAACCGGTAAAATCAATGCTAAAGTCAAAAGTCTGTAAACCAATGGATATACCTTATCTTTCTTTGTCAAAACTAACTTCTCTGCAAGATCACCAAGGCCATTCAACCCTTCAAACTCTTTGTTAGAGTGCATGTCAAAAATATAAGTCTCAAGTTGATCGCTAAGTACAATACCATCTACTGCAGAGAAATCTAATGGATAAAGGTCAACAAGTCTAATCAAGTTTTTCTTGTCAAAAGAAGAAAATGAATCTTGTGGGCATAAACAAGCTACACAAAGGAGTAACTCTGTATTTACATCCGAGAAACGATCATTCAATTCTTGAAGTTGTAAATCGATGACAGAGTAGAACAAATCTACTCTATAATGATGTAAATTTGTAATTTCTGGAGAATTACGCTAAAGGCGACCATGAATTGCAAGGCGTACAAACATATCATCCATGTTGGGTACATGAATGTAATGTTGTTAACAAAAAGAACATACTTCTTCCAAAAAGGAGTCCCACCCTTCGTCTCTCATTATTTGGAGTCGTCGTTTGCATAATCTCACCAATTGCATTGCATTGCATTCACAATATCTTGATCTTTTCTTTGCAATGTCTTTGACAGTTCATTTGACATCCCCAACACACTTCTCATCAACTGTAGATTAAATGCAAAATCAAATCTTTGTATCAACTCCAATAAATTTGATGCGTCAGATCTTTGATCACAAGAACAAGATTCATCTTCAACAATCATTGCAAGAACACCTAAAACAGAAGAGAACATGGCAAGCAAGTTGACCAAAGAATTATAATGTAA